GGTCTAGAGGCAGACTTCAATGATGTTGATTTGTGTTCTCTTTATACCTCTCTCTCTCCTCTATTCCTATCTCCTTCTTTACCTTTTAACCCTTCTCTCACTTTTCTGCTTCGTTATCTTCTTTGTTTTTCATCCCCATGTCCATTACATCTGAAACAAGCCCAAAGCAAATTCTAATAAAATTTAATTTATATATCAAGTGGAGCATTAAGGCCAGCCATAATGTTCTGCTTGTGCAAGTAAATCTATTGGGCATCACTTTGACACTCAGACAATAATTTTAAGTGTCACAATGCTGGACAGGACAAGGGAAAAAAAATAATAAATAAATAAATAAATTATTGAGATACACGATAACATCATTTGAAATTTGACAATAATTAATTGTCAATTTTTAGAAGAAATGTTGATTTGTTTGGCGTGTAGTACCTTTTTTTGACCACCTGATAGCAGTATAAGACTGTTTGAACCAAAGGATGGCTAGTTGAGCAGCATCTCTTTAAGAAAATGGTAGGGAGGGCCCTTGATGTGACATGGGCTGACATGGTGACATGGCAGACGCTCTGTGATTTGAGCTCTTTAGAATAGCATTTTTCACACAATGTCTTCAGTAGAAAGAGACAATAAAAAAAACAAAGTCGGTAAATGAAAATGAGGTCGATAATTTTCATTCATCATGCGATTAATTGATTTATTGTTTATCGCAACAGGCCTAATTGTTACGAAGAAGTCCAGTAGTCTTCTAGTGAACCAATAAGGATTGTCAGTATTGTTTATAATCTAATCTTGTTTCTATTAAAACTTGAAGGAGTAAAAATAACACTGTTGGAAAGTCTAAGAATATTTATGTTTAACTAATGCCAGACCAAAAAACTGCAAACAAAAAAACATTTCTATTCTTTTGGCAAGTTTGCAATAAAATCTGATTCAGCTCTTACGTTTTCAGCGTGCAGACTAAAAGCAAAGCGTAGAAAAGTTAGCAACATTAGCAAAGTTAAGATATTTTAACATTCAGTAACATCTCACAGCACACAAGTATATATTTTGGAGCTACTAAATTACATTGTAAAAATGGAAAATAGTGTGCAATGGTTTGTACAGTTCATGATATCATAAAACTTTCAGACAAGATGGAAATTATCGTGAAAGGATGCAAAGACAGACTGGCACAATGAGAGATTAAATCTGACACAAAGTGCACATAAGAAAAAAAGCCAAAGGAAAAAGAGAGAAAGTGAAGTATGTGCATTCTTGCACATTTGAGTCTTAGTGTGTGAATGTGTGTGTGTCTGTGGGAGTTCGTGTGGGAGAGTTTAGGTGTGTGTCTTCTAAGGCCCCTGTTGATCATTTTGACACATGTCTGAGCATTTCTGTCACTTTAATGTCACTGTGGAAATTCTACAGATTAGTACAACATCCGTCATGGTGCTTGGCCAATCCGAGTCAACAGAACACATGCAATATTAAACGCTAATACTTCCCTCAGCCTTTTATGCTTCAATATTACAGAGACAGAAAAAGAGGCCCTGAATATTCACTCGGGAAGATGGCATGGATTGTTTCAGAAGGAGAGCGCACACAGGCACATACCTCCATAAATATTCACACAAAATAATTCTGTGTAGACATATGTACATGTTGCACAATGTAATCCAGAGAATTATAGCTCGTTTAGAGACTATTTTACATAACAAAGAATGTTTAAAAAACATGTACATATGCCTACATCTATTGCATTTGACAACCCGAAAATAAGAACAAATGCATTTAAAAAAAGAAGATCAAGGATGAAGGAATACAGATGGGACAGGAAAAATTAAAGTGTGAGAATGAAACACACACACGTACACGTACGCACACACTGAACTAAAATAAAATGTTGTGGAGGAAGGAGCGAACAAAAAAAATGTTAAGTGAAATAAAGCCAAAGGCAGACAGAAAGAAAAGGAGCTGATTAGAAATGGATGCTGAGGGAATGTCATTGTTCTAGTCGATTTGAGACATTATTTAAACAGAGACTCGTGAGGGAAGACTGAGTAGAAGAGACAGGGAGGGATCAACCAAGAGGATGAAGCCTGTACAAGAACCTTTACGAAGACTAATTCAAGAAAAAGAAATATTGAAATTAGAGAAAAGAAGATCTGTTAATATGGAGTTGTGGAGTTTATGTAAGTTAAACGTACTGTATAATAGAAAATGTGTGTTTGTTTTTTTAAAGTAACATGAATAGGACTTTTTTTTGTTAGCTGAAAACTACAAACACACTGATGTTCTCTGGTTCCTCTACAAAATACAAATGTGCACACAAATGCACAGACACTAGTGTATGAAAGATATATAAGTGGTGAATAATGTAGGCGGTGCTGTGCGACAGCAAGTCGCAGCAGTCATACCTGAGTATTTCACTGCTGACCAAATGGAGGCTTTTGTTGGGTTGATGACTACTATTACCTGACAAGGTCTATTATATTTTTATTAAGCAACTGCCTGGTGGTAGATTTGATCAGACTACTCATATTGTAGCAAACAATAGCAAAATGTAAAGACTTTGCATTAAAACTAATATTATAGTTTTGATTAAGGATTATTAAAAACAGCATTTAAGCACTGTACACTGAAATGGACATGCAAAATTTAAAATGATGCTGATTATTGGTCAAGTAATGATAATAATCATGCAAACAAAAAGCTGAAGAGCTACTGTGTCTGTTGTGCTAAATAGTGAGGTTTATTCTTGTTATCCAATTAAGCACAAGAAAAAAAGATGAGCAAGTGTTTGAAAATGGTCCAAACTTGCTATATAGAATTTCAGTAGAAATCCCTGCATCTGACAATGTGAAGAACATTTCAGACATCAACCTCTGCAGACAGAAACAGTGAAATGTGATGATATGAGACTGCAATTAAGTGCAGTGTACCATAAACCAGTAGAACTTGTCAATAAAATAATCTTTATAATAATATAATGTATATGTATTGTCATCATTATATGTTCCCATACAATGGTGAAACTGGCTCTCTGCATTTAACCCATCCACCACCAGGTGGAGCAGTGGGCAGCTATTGAGGGTGCCCGGGGAGCAACTGGGGATAGGGTGTCCTGCTCAGAGACACCACAAGATGTGCAATGACTGGGGATCGAGCCCAGGACCTTCGGGTCCCAAGTCGGCTGCCCTGCCTCTACACCATCTCGGCCCCCCCTTTACTGTCTAAAACAGTGACATAGGAATTATGAGGTAATTTATAACTTTTTGTAAAAAATTATTTTTTACTATTTTGTTACTCACATTGCTTCCTACTGTGTGGCTTTCTGGTAGACACAAACAGCGGTACGGTGTCACACTGGTGTCGCAATGGTCTGCATGGCCATGACACTCGCATCTAAAAAAAAACAGAAAAAAAAAACAGGAATGGAGTAAGTATGACACTGACACCAAACACACTCAAATTACTTGGAAGAGAAAACATAAATTAGAACAAAAAAGACAATAAGCTTGGCAAAAGCTCTCCCTCCAACTGTATGTCAAAAATTCCTGTCAAAAAACCTGCTTCATGTCCACATCTCAGAATATGCCACTTTAACTGGTATATGTGTGTTCAACAAAAGGTAACTTAAAGAGGGGCTTATTTTTGTGGCCATATTGCAAAAGTGGGATACAGCTAGAGGTATACCGAGCTAAAGTGCAACAACTTAGCTGTTAAACAAGGTCTGACTAAGTGAACTAGGCAGAAGATTAGTTGTTATTAAAGTAATTAAAATGATTTTTTTGTTGCAAACAAACAATGTGAGCTGAAAGATACAATTTAGCAGGGGTCAGATTGTCATATTAATTTACTTGAATACTACTTATATCTGTGTAACTATGTAAAGTTATTTTGTGAGGAAAAACAAAACATACGTAGGTTATTATTCCCGGGAAGACATATACAGAAAGATAGCTTTTCTTCCATTCCCAGTATGCTTCCATGCTTCATAAAAAAAATCAAGGCAGAACATGGAGAAAGAATAAAAGAATAGGGAACAACATAGATGGATGAAGATCGCAAAGATGAGGCTTCAGCAGCATTAAATCTCCGTTTCTCCTACTTCACTATAACAAGATACTAATTAAACAGCTTAGAAGGGGAAGAGAGAAAGAGATGATTGCCTCCTGTATAATCCTATAATTACCTCAGTCATAAAAGACAGTCACTATGTCAGCCACAGTGTCAGTCTAATGAAAAGATGTGTTCACAATTACTCACAAAAAAGCTCTGCTGAAACTCAACAGTCTGTGTGAAATTATTTTACTTGAACTGTGTTCCCCCAATTTGCACAAATCTGTAATGGTGATACTCTTGCATTCTTCAACAAATTAACCCATTTACAGTTTGACAACAGACAGGATAACTATTGAACAATACAAAGAGTGTTACTGATGATAATTTCTCTATAAATATATGTGAATTTGGTTTTCCAGAAAAAGAGTCAGGGCACTTGTGGTCAATTTGAAGTCCTTCACACAACAAACAGCTCATTTAACAGTGTTTGAGGAGTTTCCTTTTCATCTTCTACAGATTAACAGATCTTATCAATAAATGCAACTAAGACTTCATTAGCTTTCTTCAAGAAATACAATATCATTGGATAAAATGCAAGCTTTTACCTGCCACCGATTGTGATCTCTTTTACAGCAAAGTATCTGTGTAGCTGATTAACCCTGTTTGCCTTTGGGCGGTACTGTCCTCTCATATGTATTCGAACTTGGGTAGCTTGCACCATCTCTTGCAAGGATGGAGTTTTGTAGAAGTCATTATATCCCGGCCTCTGAATTGGATGTGGGGACAGCAGACTGAAGGTGATGTTACCTCCTGAAAAGGGCTGGTTGCTGAAAAACAAGAAAAACATTTAACAAAGTATTTATTTCAAATAAACAAAAATCCTCTTATTTTTGCTCCTATTTTTTTTATGGTGTCTTGGATTTATGCCTGTTATCACATTAAAAGTTTCAATCCCCCTCCTAATCACCTGCGTTTGTGTCCTTCAATTAATATTTCATTGCATTTCTGTGGCAAAAATATTCTATCCTGGCCAGAGGTGCTTCAGGCTGTGTAGGAAGTGCTACAGTTAGCTGATGTTGCTGCTACTATTTGCACTTGCAAATCATAGAATTCAATGCAACTAAACATGTAATGTAAAACATACAATAATGTAAAGGTTTTCTCCATAAACATGTCATTCAAAGAGCTATGAACAGCCTTTCAAATAATAATTGTTTATAGCCTTTTCACAGAAGCCCACGTCAGATCTAAACTATTAAAGTATTATGCTTCGTTTCTAGGTCTACAACTATTGGCTACACTTATATTTTTAAAACTAAAATCTCAAATTGTTCATGTAACCAGGAAGCAAGACATTTTGTAGTCAAAACTGTTTAGCAATTAGCAACTACATCAGTTTAATTAATCAGTTTAATTGATTTTTAGTAGTCCATTTATAGCAAAATTAGCATCTTAGTAAGAAAAATAAACAACAATATTAATACAAGAAAAAAATATTCAACAATGGCAAACAACCCCTCAAGAATGTGTAAAACAGCTTCTACAAAACCTTCAAAAAATGAGACCAGAAATGTATTATGTCAGCCACCGCCCATGGCGTCATGCACCCATGGGTCAAGCGGTCCGCAGCCTTGGCTGTTGCTGAGGCAAAAGCTCGGATGTGGGAGGATTTCGGAGAGGCCTTGGATAAAGACTCTCGGTAAGCTCAGAGTTGATTCTGTCAAACCATCAGTCCGTTGAGGAGGGAAAAGCATCTCTTTACTAACACTATGTTCAGTGATGGTGGGGTCATGTTGACCTCAACCAGTGATGTTCTCGGAAGGTGGAAGAAATACATCTTGGACCTTCTCAATCCCACCGGCATGTCTTCCATGGAGGAAGTGGAGTCAGGGGACTTGGGGGTTAGTCTGTCCATAATGGCTGAAGTTGCCAAGGTAGTTAAAAGCTGCGCAGCAGGCTCCGGGGGTGGATGAGATTCACCCTGATTTCCTTAAGGCTCTGGATGTTGTGGGGCTGTCTTGGTTGACACACCTTTGCAACATCATGTGGACATCGGGAGCAGTGCCACTGGATTGGCAGACTGGGGTGGTGGTTCCCCTCTTCATAAAGGGGGACCGGAGGGCATGCTCCCAATTAAAGGAGCATCACTCTCCTTAGCCTCCCTGGTAAGGTCTATTCAGGGATACTGGAGAAGTGAGTCTAATCATTGGTCGAACCTCAGATCCAGGAGGAACAATATGGGTTCCGTCCTGGCCGTGGAACACTGGAACAGCTCTTTACCCTCACTAGGATCCTCAAGGGGTCGTGGGAGTTTGCCCATCCAGTCTAGATGTGTTTTGTGGACTTGGAGAAGGCTTTTAACTGTGTTCCTCGAGGTATACTGCTGGGGGTGTTCCATGAGTATGGGATTAAGGGCCCATTTTTATGGGCTGTTCAGTCCCTATACAAGTGGTGCGAGAGTTTGGTTCACAATGTAAGCATAGTGTCGGACCTCTTCAGGGTTTGGGAGTTGGACTATGCCAGGGATGTCCATTGTCACAGATTCTGTTCATAACATTTATGGACAGAATTTTTTGGTACAGCCAGAGGGTGGAGGGATTCCCATTCTGTGGCCTCAGAATTCCATCTCTGCTCTTTGCAGATTATGTGGTCCTGTTGGCGTCATCGTGCCATGATCTCCAGTTCTCACTGGAGCAGTTCACAGCAGAGTGTGAAGCAGCTGGGAGCCCATGGTCCTCAATCAGAAAAGGGTGGATTGCTCTCTTCAGGTCGAGGGTGAGGTTCTGCCTCAAGTGGAGGAGTTCAAGTATCTTGGGGTTTTGTTCACGAGTGAGGGAAGAATGGAGCATAAGATTGACAGACGGATTGATGCAGCATATGCAGTATTGCGGCCTCTGTACTGGTCCGTTTTGGTGAAGAGGGAGCTAAGCTGTAAGGCAAAGTGCTCTGTTTACCGGTCGGTCTACGTTCCTACCCTCACCTATGGTCATGAACTCTGGGTAGTGACCAAAATAATGAGATTGCGGATACAGGCGGTTGAAATGAGTTTCCTACACAGGGTAGCTGGACTCTCCCTTAGAGATAGGGTGAGAAGTTCAGTTATCCGGGAGAGATTCGGAGTAGAACTACTGCTATTTCACATCAAGAGGACCCAGTTGAGGTGGTTAGGGCATCTGGTAAGGATGCTCCCTGGGCGGGAGGTGCTTCAGGCATGTCTGACTGGGAGGAGACGCAAGGGAAGACCCAGGACACGCTAGAGAGACTGTCTCTCGGTTGGCCTAGGAACACCTTGGAATCCTCCTAGAAGAGCTGGAAGAGGTGGCTGTTTAAACAGATGTCTGAGCCTCCCTGCTCAAGCTGCTGCACCCGCGACCCGACTTCGGAACAAGAGGAAGATAATGGATGATGGATTCATGGATATAGTTTATTTTGTCTGCAACCTATTTACAACCAACTACTAAGATCAACTAAGTTGGAGCAGTGATTTTAGTTTATCTGGTGATAATTATATTTTTTTCAAGATTGATCCTCAAAAATGTCTTCATGTATACAGATGCAAACATACACACTTGTGCTTAAACAAATCTTGCCAAATATTCTATTGGGATCAGAAGGGCTAATTTGTTTAGCAAAACTGAATAAACCTTGTAAGATTATTATACATCAAAGAAGTGTTAAACAAGATTAAATGTTGATGCAATTATCAAGCACAAAATGTTTTACTGTGTTCCTAATGTGTGGCAAATTTGTTCTTATGCCAGGCTTACTAACATGAGCTGTGCCAGGAAAGGTTGTATATGATATAATTTGTCAGTCAAGTGAATCATGAGCAATGACTGCATAATCTGTGATCTATTCAAACCTGTTCTAGCTAGTGCCAACCAAGCACTTGATGCACACAGCCCTGCCAAGAGTAAGTGTGGGAAATTGTGGGTGTATGTGTTTTTCAACTCCAGTTCTGGACCTACTGCCAAATTAAAGCCTGTTGTCAGTCATGAGCCAAAGTAATGCTGTAGGTGGTTAGCTTTAATAATATTGTTACTGTGAGGGTGTCACTGAGTGTGTGTGCGCATATGTGTCACTTGTGTTTTAATGAAATGTCTAAATATAATTTTATTTGATTGCTTTTGACTTGTTTGTGTCTGTTGTGTATGTGTTTGCCTAAATGTATGCTAAATATGCTTGTTGTGTTAATAAGGTTGTTTAATTTTGCCAACAATTTTCTGTATTATTTTCTCTGTGGGGGCAGCACGGTGGCACAGTTGGTAGAGCTGCTGCCTCTCAGCGAGCAGGTTACCTTACCCTGGTTCAAATCCCGATCCGGCGGCCCTTCTGGGTGGAGTTTGCATGTTCTTTCTGTGCATGCGTGGGTTTTCTCCAGGTACCCCCATTTCCTCCCACAGACCAAAAACATGCATGTTAGGCTGATTGGTAACTCTAAAGTGTGTGAGTGAGAGACTGAATGGTTGTCTTGTTTGTCTCTATGTGGCCCTGTGATGGATTGGAGACCTGTCCAGCGTGCGCCCCGCTTCTCGCACAGTTATTGCTGGACATGGGCATAGGTGACCACCGTGACCCAAAAAAGGAAGAAGCAGGTAAATATAATGGATGGATGAATGGATTTTCTCTGGAAGCCATCACATCAGCCAATGAACTCAAATTATATAAATGTTTTTATGAAGTTTTTGAAGATTAAATTTTTATTCTGGCGTCTCTATCTGACTAATGCTTAAGCAAAGGATTTGCTTTAGATCAGCCATATGCACTTACTGTTCTAAAAGGCAATGGATGTGTTTGTCTTACTAGTTCCTCTGACTTTAGTAACTCTATTCAAGTATTTTATAAGTCAAGTGAAGCATAATGATTATGTCAATATATAACACATAACTTTGTTAAATATAAATAGTTCAAAAGACCTTCCAATGAAACTAGACTATCTACAAACCTTTATTTTATATTAAAAAAAAGAGATAAAAGTAAGTAATTTCTGTAATCACTGTTTGTTAAATTAGTGAATATTGGGCTTTTCAGCAAATGATAAGTCAGTAGATTCAAACCAACCTGGGCAACTGCAGACAATTCACCGAGTCTGGTCTTGGTAATGGTCCGTTGTTCTTCATATCAAACACATTGCAGTTTCTGGCCATATATTGCCAGTCCAACCAGGACTGTTCTATGTTCATGGTGCTTTCAGGTTCTGAGAAGACGAGCCTCCTCCTTTGGATCAACACTGAATCAGGTAAAAGACCCCCAAACTGAACTATAACGTAGAAAACCTGAAGGATAAATGCATCAAAGTTAGTGAAAATTTGAAGAAAAAACAAAAAACAAAGATGAAGAACCCATTTAGTGTAAACTAGGACAACATGCTTTTACAAAACCCTACAATTGTGAAGGAGTAAATCATTATTCCTTGTTGACAGTACCATGTTTTATATTTATTCCCCTGTATAATAAAGTATTTGAAACCATAAGAGATGTTTTTAGAAAGATTTTAAAAAGTTTTACTAATTTTTGTTCATCTCAAGAGATCAAGTCTGAAATGTATGAAGTATTTAATTGCAATGTTTACTTACAGTGCATTCTTTTTTATTATTATTGCCAAGTCTTGCTTAATATTACTTATGCAATTTATTGCAACATATTAAGGATGAAAAACAATGAATAGACACTAACTAAATTTTACATAGATTTCCAAAACTTGTCAGCAGATAAGTTTAGGAGACACCAGTGAAGATCATAAAATACAATGACAAAACAGAGAAAAAAAAATGCCCAAAAAGTGTAGAAAACTGTCGGGAAATTTTTGGTCAAAGGTTATGCATGTTTTTATTATTATGCCTAAGAACATCCTTCCCCTCTGCCCTGAGAACTAGAAGCTCAAACAAGCTGAACTGTCTCCCAAAACACAAGCTTATCTCTGCCCATGAACCATATGTTTGTGTAAACAGAAAGTGCTGTGTAAAAAGACTGCAGCTGAATTCAAGAACACCCCCTGAACTATGTTCAAGTCTGAGCTGAGAGGAGTATAAAAGTGAGCAGATAAAGTGACTCGTGGCTTTCTTCTGTGACTGGTTTTCATGCATGTACATCCATGTATGTTTATATACATTATGTTATGTATGTAACATGTCCTGAAATTAGACCTTGCAAGTCTAAAATACTGGTTAAAAATCTTCACCTGCTGTGATAGTGTTGCTATTGAGTAACAATGTTAGAGAATTAGATAATTTCACCAACAAAAAACATCGGTCCTGAGCTAACTGTGCTGCTTGAAGCTCAATTAAGAGATTTTATATGATTGTCATCACATTTCACACACATATACATCCATACACATAATGCACAGAAAAAAATCCCTATCACATATTAAACCTGTATGTGTATGTGTGTGTGTATGTGTGCTATAACTGTTATCTAGCCCTCCAGTGGGTGGGATTTTGGACAACGCAGCAGGGGGTGCATTAAGCCACCAAGACTGCACAAATCAACTCACATACTACAAACACAAATACCCTAAACTTCAGAAAGTGTCATTTTTCTGGGGACTTAAGTTGAATGACCGTACAGGACAGCTCCCAAAATCCTGCCTCCCTAACGTACTTTATACACATCAGAAGGAGGAGGAACGATACTCAACGACACAACCACATAACCACATCAAGCAGTTTCTTTTTCCATCCTCTTCCCTCTTGTGTTGACGTGCTTAAAATGATCTATTCACTGCATTAACATGTTTTAAAAAGAGGCATATAGTGGTGTCAACAAACAGATTTTTTTTCCCCATTTACATTGCAGAATAAGACAATACTGTTGTTGATTGACCAATGTTTACATTGACAACAACAAGGTTTTATGGGCTACTGCATGACCTGCTAATAAAGTAATCCCATGGCCTTTCAGTTTATCCATTCCAATTTAAATAAATTTAAACAAAAACCATGCTGTATATGGACTCATAAGTCTAAATTCTGGGCAACTGTAAAAAAGACCAAACTTGGTAAAAACTTATGAACAACAAACACAATACTTGTTGAAAGGTCAAATCCAACGAGTTTTACTTAGGTCTTGAAACAGGTGGCAACAGTTAGGGTGTTATTACTTTTACTCATGTGTTACAAGTGAAAGGGGAACTGATTTACTGATAAAATCAGTTTATTGGAATGTAACTTTGAATTTTACAAAGTTTGTTTACTCATCACAAGGCCACAGTAAGGAAAATAATAATGCTACTACTGATGAACTGTCTTCACACACTACATCTCCAGACAGGTCTATCCTCATTGTAATATGACATTGATATTGGGCAGCTTTGGCCTACTGATAGGAAGGCTGCCTTCTAACCACAATATTGGGAGTTTTCATCCCAAGACCCAGCAGTGAGGTGTCTTTGGGCAAAACACTGCATATCACTCTTCCCCCCATATGCATATTGGTGCATGAGTGGGCATATAACATACTGTACATAAAATAATGTAAAATACATTTTAGAAAGGACTATACTTGCATGTGCCTGAGGTTAAAAGGAGCTACATGTGTGGACCATTTCCCATAAGAGTATTTCTGCTTATATGCAATTAAATACATCACCTGGTATTGTCCATTAGCCAATTCCACTGTAACTGTGACTCCTTCTTCCAGTTCTTGTGCAGTCATGGCCTTAGATTGCCACGTGGTACCCATGTCCTGATCATTGATGTAACTGAGTGGATGGGTGTGAAGGTTTAGTCTTAAAACTCTGTCATTAGTGGTGTCTTCAACCGCATTAGGAATGCAATATCTGGCAACAGTGCAAAACAGAAAATGTTGGAAGTTTGTTTTCCAGCAGAGAAATTTCAACTGGATTTTCTTTCTACTTAAAATTAATGACAAACCAAACAACTTTTATAAAACTTCCACAAAATACAAGTTTTATAATAATGCTGTCAAATGAATGGTCACAAGGATTTAATTCCTGTTATTTAAAATGAACTAATTATAGAAATATAAACTGTAAATCATTGTAAATATTTGCTTGACATCTTCCAAAATGTTTGGAATTTTAATCTCAAATGCTTTTTAATCACTATATAATCATATGGCTTATTGTAATGAATACATTTTAGAATTAATTGAAAATTAGCTTTAATTTTTATTTATATTTAATCTGAGTACATATCCCTCAAATTAAACATTAAAAGATTTTTTAATTATGTGATAATGACCAATGCAAATGAACTTTTTCAGTGTGAGCATTTTGCTTTAAAAAGGTGACAGTCAAGTAATTAGTTTAACTTTAATTAATGATTGATTGATAATTATTTAAATATTAATCTTTTGACAGCACTACTTTGTTTGTCGTATACGAAAGAAGTTTTGAAACCACACCTTTCAATTAAAGGATGGACTCTCGGATGGCTGGGCGGACAGCGGCAGTCAGACTGGACGTGAAGCTTAGGCAGAACTCCTGAGTACAACTCAACTATTTCTCTGTTAACACAATAATCAATAAACAAAAACAAAATGTTAAAAATAAATAAAAAGACCAATGAAAAATGAGCATTTAGCTTGAACTGTAAGAAAAACTCTCAAGTCTTCTGTTAGTGTGCTAAAGACAACAATTTGTGTCAAGCACAGAATCAAAAATGTAACTTGGAAATTGAGCCATTTACTTTACTAAAGCCAATCTTGATCAGGCAAGTTGTAAGCTTAAAGATGTTTCAGTAATAGCTTTGTACAGAAATCTTTGGAAATCTTCTGGAAGCAGTATAGATCATAAGAAGCAATGATTAGCCTTCCCTTAACCATGGTCCCTTAATTACCCTGTACCACTCCTCTTCTTTTGCTGAGCAGTTTATATTTTGTAATTTCCCATTTTTAAGTCTTTACATAAATACAGTTGACTTGTTTCTTTTGTAAACCATTGTTCCACTTTTTGTCCTGAGCTTCTTCTCCAACACTCATGTCTGTCTTTCAAAGCTTTTTTTTCTTTCTCTCATTCTCTCCCAGAAGCTTCTCATTACACATCTCTCATTCTATCCAACTCACCTGTTGGTCAAAGAGGCGGGATAAAATCTAAAGTCCTGCATCCGCCCAATGAACTGATTAGACCCTGGAGAGATGAAAGGAGAGTGGAAAAGAACATAAAAAAGTGTTAATGGGTTTGCACTGAAGGCAGTGAGTGAGAGGATTTCACAGTATTTAGTAGATTATCTTATCAGTTTCTTGATACCAGTTAAGTGAGGCTGCCAACAGCTGCCTATAATGGCCTGGATCACAATACAAAGCCAGACTGATTCTGCAATAGACCTCATTTGTCTCCACTAGAGAGCAGCAAGGCTGCTGAACGCAATTTTATTGGTTCGGATGATAGAAGTTCAAAATAGCTACATCTGAGCACAAGAAATGGTTGAATGTTTTACTCACCTTCTAGTATGAAAGGACAGTTTAACAGGAGAAATTACCAATTCTTCAAAGCTCTATATTCACATTTATCTTTATTGTTGGAAAGAGAAAAGTATCTCAAACTGATTCTGTGAGAAAAACATTAAAAATAAATTAACGCTGTGATATTTTGTGGTTCACTTTTAGTGTGGCCCAATATTTACACGGAAAATTGCAGGGTTTGCTGAATGAACTTTAAATGGCAAATGGATTGTACTTATATAGCGCCTTTCCATCTTATCAAGATACTCAAAGTGCTTTACTACACAACCTGTGTCCTCATTTACCCATTCATACAGCACTCTACAAGAGCGATACAAAGTTAATTGAACAAATCATTCTAAAGAGACTAATCAGTGCTTTATCACATTCATACACCAATGGGACACACATCGGGGCAATTGGGGGGGGAGAGGGAGGGTTTCAGTGTCTTGCCCAGGGACACTTCGGCATGTGAGTGCTGGTAGATTTGAACCCCCAACTCTTGCATTGGAGGATGACTGCTCTAACCACTCAGCCATAGACACTCTAAAGGTAAACATGTTACTAACTGTATCACCAGGGGCAGCTGTGACTGAGTGGTTAGAGCAGTTGTCCTCCAATGCAAGAGTTGGGGTTCAAATCCACCAGCTGTTACATGCCAAAGTGTCCCTGGGCAAGACACTGAACCCCTCATTGCCACCATCGTTGTATGAATGTGATAAAGTACAGATTAGTCTTTTTAGAATAATTTGTTCAATTAGCTTTGTAGAGATCTAGTAGAGTGCTGTATGAATGGATAAATGAGGACACATATTGTACTTTGTAGTGTAAAGTGCTTTGAGTATCTTGACCAGATAGAAAGGTGCTATATAAGTACAGTCCATTTACCATTTACCATGTACAATGACTTAAAAAGTCTCCAGATGAAATTATTTAACCTTTTTTGTTGTTATCTACCTGGATTCATTCAACCTTTATTTAGACAGGTAATCCCATTGAGCCTCGAGGACTCATTTACAAGAGAGACCTGATTTCAACAAAGAAAGATGATTGAGCCTACAAACCTTTAATCACTCCAGACATTGATATTAGGAAAATTATAAACATGCACTTTTGAAAAGTGATAAAGTTTTACAGAATTAGAGGAAGGTTTTATCAGTCAAACAAAACTGATACTCTCCCAACAGCCTACTCCAAAGTGAAAAAAAAAACAGTTATGCTGGTGCTACGATGGCCTCCGGGGCACGCCCTCTCCTTCTGTGCCTGCCCTCTCCCTCGCCGACAGTCATGTCAAACTGGTTCAAAACACCAAAGTCCATGCTCTGTTCACATGATAAAGGAGGACCATCAGCCTAACGACTGATCATTAGTGCTCTGACGGCTGCTTGCTATTCACAGAGGGCTGAGTGATGCAATAGCAGCATTGTAAGAGGGGGACAGTTGAACACGGAGGCCTCCACCCCTGTTTAATGATGGGCGGTTTCTTTTCACAAAGATGGCCTCCTTTACTCCTCTCTCAAACCAACGTTCCTCTCTATCCAGGATGTGAACATCTTCATCCCTGAAAGAGTGACCGCTGGCCTGGAGATGAGTGTAGACCGCAGAGTCCTGGCCTGATGATGCTGATCTTCTGTGCTGGTCCATCCTTTTGGCCAGTGGCTGTTTAGTTTCCCCGATGTAAGACTGATCACAGCCCTCCTGACACTAAACAGCATACACAATATTACTCTGTTTGTGCCGGGGGACTGGATCTCTGGGATGAACCAGTCTTTGCTGTAATGTATTTTGTGGTTTAAAAGCCACTGGGACGTTATGTTTAGAAAATAAAATCTCAGTTTCTCTAAAACTCCTGCAACATACGAAATGACCGGAATGACAATAGACTGATGTGCTTTTAATTAAAATGATGATATAGTTTTCAAATAGAAAGCGGGAGCTACAATATTGTCCACAGTGGGTTCAACAGTTTTGTGATTGTGCAGATGTATTTAGGACCCAATTTTATACATGCTTTGAAGAACTACATATTTCCTTTTTATATTTTCAGGGAACAAAGGACAACCATTTACAAATTCACTATCCTTAAACAGATTTGTTTTCAAACTATTATTTTCTGGAGAATGCTGACAAAAAAAAAAGAATTAAAAAGATAAGCTGTGGCACCCAAGCCTTTCTAAACTACCCTTCAGTGCAGCACGCAGAATTCATTCAACCTTTATTTATACAGGTTAGTCCCGGAATGAAAAATAATTTCATAAAAGGTTGTTTTATACATAATAGTGACCTTGAAAATAAGGGTGTAGAAATCAATGGGGCAGATATCAATTTACTGAAAAAAAAATATTTGATTGTTGTTTCTAAGAAATGCACATGCAAGAATATGTGCACTGGCTTAAGAGGAGGGGTGGAAAGATGGGGAACTCCAGAATTAAAAGGTTGGGAACCACTGTGTTAAAGATCAGAGTTAATGAAGTTCTAATATTTGGAGAAAAGCAAGGTGTTTTCTACTAATTTCTCAATGGAAAAGTTTTTGTATATAAACTGCAACAAGAAAGTAATTTTAGCACAGTAAAGAGCCGTTAGTAATGTAACTAAAATGATAATCATAATAAAAACAATAAAGCCTAAATACCTTGGTTTATGGCTGATACTTTTGAATTAAACTGGTTTCTCATAATCTTAGACATTATTCAGTTATCTTTGTACATAATAGGCAATGTTCATTCAACCTTTATTTAGACAGGTACATCCCATTGAGCCTCGAGGACTCATTTACAAGAGAGACCTGATTTCAACAAAGAATGATGACAACAATGGACAACAGTGACAACAATAGACAGTTATAAAAGGCACACAGTTTTTTTTTATGTAACGAAAACAGCTAGATTCTAAGGCGAATGTAGAAAACTACAAACAGGAACATGTCTGCATTGGTCCCTGCCAGGAGTCCAACAGATTCTTAAAGCCACTTAGAGAGGTCAAGGTCGAGAGCTTCAGGTCTTTTTGTAAGATATTTCAGGAAACAGGAGCAGAGTAGGAGAAGGCCCTTTTGCCAAGTTTAGTCCTCACTGAGGGAACACTGCAGGTAATAATGTCCTGAGAGCGCACGCTGTAGCTGCACTCACGCACAGACATGTAGGAGGAGATGTATGAAGGCAGCAGACCAAGAAGTGATTTAAAAATGAAAATGTACCAGTGAGAGAGTCTGCGTGAAGTTAATGATGACCAGTTAACCAGTGAATACAGGGTGCAGTGGTGGGTACGATAATCACAGCCAGTTATGAATCTTAATGCACCATGAATGACAGCTTCCAACATCTGCAGGGTGCTTGTAGGAGCGTTCATGTAAATAATGTCACCGTAATCAATGGAGAGAAGGAAGGTCACAGATACAAGGCGTTTCCTAGCATTCAGAATTAGACTGGATCCGTTTCTGAAAAAGAAACCCAGTTTAACTTTCAGTGTCTTTACTAGGTTTTCCACATGTAGCTTAAAAGAGAGATGCGAGTCGTCCAACACACCCAAATATTTATAGGATTCAACAAACTCAATGGGGACATAATTTGAGGATAAAACTTGGTAAAGAAACTGAAAGTTAAACTGGGTTTCTTTTTCAGAAACCGGTCCTGTCTAACTCTGAATGCTAGGAAACGCCTTGTAACTGTGACTTTCCTTCCGTCCATTGATTACGGTGACATTATTTATATGAACGCTCCTACAAGAACCCTGCAGATGTTGGATGCTGTCTATCATGGTGCATTAAGATTCATAACTGGCTGTGATTACCGTACCCACCACTGCACCCTGTATTCACTGGTTAACTGGTCATCATTAACTTCACGCAGACTCTCTCACTGGTACATTTTTATCTTTAAATCACTTCTTGTTCTGCTGCCTTCATACATCTCCTCCTACATGTCTCTGCGTGAGTGCAGCTACAGCGTGCACTCTCAGGACATTATTACCTGCAGTGTTCCCTCAGTGCAAACTGAACTAGGCAAAAGGACCTTCTCCTACTCTGCTCCTGTTTCTTGGAATACCTTACAAAAATATTTGAAGCTCTCGACCTTGACCTCTCTAAGTGGCTTTAAGAATCTGTTGGACTCCTGGCAGGGACCAATGCAGACATGTTCCTGTTTTTAGTTTTCTACATTCGCCTTAGAATCTACTTTGTAGCTATTTTTGTTACTTTTTTTTTTTTAGCCATCCAATTTAAAAAAAAAAAAAAAAAATCTGTATGACTTTTTATAACTGTTTATTGTTGGCGCTGTTGTCCATTGTTGTCATCATTCTTTGTTGAAATCAGGTCTCTCTTGTAAATGAGTCCTCGAGGCTCAGTGGGATTTACCCATCTAAATAAAGATTGAATGAAAAATTGGAGAAAGAAATGTGTTTTTATAACAGAACATGTTTTATTACAGTAAAGTGGAAGTGGTTTCAAAACAATCTGTTCAATCAATGTCCCAAATACTGTCTGCATCAATCAAACTTTATTTATACAGGTAAATCCCATTGAGCCTCGAGGACTCATTTACAAGAGAGACCTGATTTCAACAAAGAAAGATGACAACAATGGATAACAGCAACAACAATAAGCAGTTATAAAAACTCATACTACAGTTTTTTTTTGTTTTGTTTTTTTAACAAATAGGATGGCTAAAAGGAAAAAGGTAACAAAAACAAAAAAAACAGCTAGATTCCAAGACAAATGTATAAAACTAAAAACAGGAACATGTCTGCATTGGTCCCTGCCAGGAGTCCAACAGATTCTTAAAGCCACTTAGAGAGGTCAAGGTCGAGAGCTTCAAATCTTTGCATATCTGCATACTTTGTAAATTCATACAAGGCAGAGTACATATCATAGCTGAGTGAATGCTGCAGACCCAAGTAGTGCATCTTTGATACGCAAGTCATTACTATGTGAAATACATTTTTTATAAACTTTAAAATAAATTTCAACAGAAAAATGAACCAAAAGAGCAAACAAAGGGACCAGCACGGAGTTGAATGCAACAGTATTAGACAATACACAGCAATCATCCAACGTTCCTCTAGCAAGCATACCTGTACTGGAATACCTCAAACATAATGGCAAAATGTCCAGATACACATGGGAATCCTGGACAGAACACCAAAAACACCATCAAACAAATAAACACAGGCAAGACCCCAACATATCTCCAAGCACAACCATGCCATGTGATAAAGCTGGACAGAGCATAAGAGAACCACACATACAATGATGATGCTGGTCCAAAGGGGGCCAAAGCATTTTAGTGTCCAACCAACTTCTTTCTAGTTTGACTAAGTCTTAGAAGATGGATAACGTCTCGAAGCATCAACAGAAGCCCTGCCATGTTAAGTCTGTGGAAGTGTGTGTTTGTGTGTTAGTGGCTTTTCCACATGGATTCCAAAAACGATCCTTACTTTAGAGGAAGACTGTGTAGTATGTGTGCATGTGTGTGCATTTGCACTTGAGAGAGGCTTTGGTGTGTTGGGCTTGGCCACTGGGTGTATGTGTGTATTTTGGGGAAATGTGGCATGTGCATGTAAAACAGAGAGACTGTTAGGAGATGTAAGAGTGCGAGATCAGTGTGTGGTGGTGGAGCCTTAGGCTTTGGCTCAGGACTTCTTTATCGTGTGGAAATGGGATTATACCTTCCTCTGAAAGGCATTCTCCCTATTGTTACTGGGATGATGCAAGGTATAAGCCTTAATTCTTTCCTCCCTAGGTAGGCCTTTATTCTTTCTGTATGTTTTAATTTCTGTTATTCACTACTTCTCTTGTTTGATTCTTATAACATTATAACTTGGGGTACTAGAAATATGAAAATGTAAAATGTTTTTGTGATTTCTGCACATTTTTGTCTCTCTGTGATTAATGGTAACAGACAGACTCCAATATTTAAGATGCCATTGTTTCAGCCAGTTGTAAAGGCTCCTGCTGGTACTGAGAGAAGCAAGTAGCCTTTTGGTACTACCCAAACAGAGTATAGTAAAAAAACAAAAAAACAATTGTACTTCATATTGTTTTTGTATTCACCACTTCAAAACCGTCCTGTAATTCAAATTCAAGTGAATTATAGACTAACAGAATCAGACTGAGCAAAATGCAAACATACGTTTTGCAGTTTTCTCTGAACATATTAAACTATATTTTAATGTGCAAAAAATCCACGCAAAAAAAAATTATATATTTTTTTAATCAACCTTAAAATTGACAAACCAAGTTTTCAGGGTCTTTTTATGGGACTTGTTGTGACTCACATAGGAAAGAAATCACAAGATGGTAGCTCTAAACCATCCTTGATAAGTTACAAGGTGTTAGTATGTAGTGCCTGTTTTTAGGTTGATTTTCAAAGAGATTAAAATTTTGTTAATCTACTTCTAGAATGTTGACCAAAATGTATGTAACAATCAAATTATTCAAACTTTTCTAAAATCAATATTAAAAGTTGATCTGTTATTACAATTTGCCTTTAAAATAAACCCTTTTCTGTGGAGATGTTCAGTTATGGTGGGTTGTCTTTTCTAGCCATTATGTCACTACATCCCACATTTGATTGCTTGCATTTGCAGTCTTCAATAGGTAGGTCCCCCTCCAAAAACAGATCTAGATGGTAATCAATACATCTGATTAGTATTTGCATAATTATTCTTCTGATCAGAATTCCAGGCACTTCCCCTGGGTTCACCAATGACCCTCTCTTACACACATTTACACATGCACACACATTTTCACAGCCCCAAGCCAATCACTCTCATTGATCAACCTCTCTTATGTGATCTCCATCTGATCAGATGCTACCTGCTGTGAACTAAGAATCAATGACTGATAAACGAGAAGAAAAACACTCGTTTATCACTCTAGAGATGAACAGATATTTTTTCTCTCTCATTTTCTCTGCTATTGACTCTGAAACGGCTCACAGGCACCACTAATCAATCACAGATATGTAGTTGAAACAGAATAAGGGCCAGGAGCAAAACAAAGGTGAAGTAGTCATTGACAAGATATTAAGATAAACAAATATGATAAACTGATTTTTTTTCCTCATGTAAAATACAAAATAACAGATGGTGCCTGTTGAAGAGTAAATGCAGGACAGTGGCAAAAACTACCAAGCTGGGAAAGGAGTTTGGAAAAAAAAATACATTCACTCATTACACCCAACCCACCTGCATCAACCTCTTTCTATCACCCAGTATGGCACATAAAGTGACATATCATAAAGTTTATTGTATATAGAATTAAAAAAAAAACTGTCGTCTCTGTTCTGCAACATGTCAGCACTCAGTTTTCTCTTTTTCTCTGTTTATGTAAAATTTAGAGGTGGTGCTATACTTTGTGAAAGTTTATTACACTACTGTATAGTTGTTAACTTGGGAAAACCATAATGCTGTCTCACATAAATCAGACTCTGCAACTTACAGGTCAGGTCATTTTGTTATAAAACTTCATTTTAATATAACAAATTAATGAAGATGTAAACTGGTCGGTTCTAGAAAGCAACTCAGCAATCGGTGCAACTGTGAAGGAAACAGCGTTCTCACCATTGGAGCTGAGTCCCACCCACATGGCACCAGATTCGCTGATATCGGAGAGTGGATTGGTCAGAATTTTCGTGTCAAATGGTGTCCCATCCTCCTCAAGGCCATCCAAGAAAAGACTTGCATGTCGGTCATATATCTGAAAAAAAAATAAATAAATTTAATTAAAATTCAACAACTGGCGCAACATATACATACCATATTTTTCGGCTTATAAGTCACGGCTTTTTGCATAATTTGCATGCCCTGCGACTTATAGGCCAAAACGACGTATTTAGGGATTTTTTTCCCCATATTTATAAACCAGTTTTTGGCTGAGATATGACCATTTTCATTCATTCTGACTGAAAAAATGGAACAGTACAATTTTCAGCCACGAGATGGCAGCAAAGTAGTACGGCATGCCGTTTTATCATGCAATAGGTAAAAGTGGCTATAATGACAAATTCAAAAAAGTTCAAGACAAAAACAACTGGACTTTATTTATTATACTGTACTTTATACTTTATTATTTTTGTCAAACTTTTTTTGAATTTACCATGTCCTGGATGACTGAGAATCCTCACCAGATAGTAATGACACAATCAGCTTGCCACAGTCTGCCACCTGCGTTCTGCCCGCTGCTTGGAGCAACCGTCAAACTAGCTTCATTTCGCTGCAATGCCCCAGCAAAACGCAACTAATTTGACCATTGAAGTGCATTTATTAAGTAAAAGTTGAACTGAGACAAACCTTTGTTAAGATTTTGAGCAAAAACAATTGTTTTTAGGTGTTTATCTTGTTAAATTTTGAATAAATGAACAGCGGCTCGTCCCGCTGCGTGCCCGCTTATGCGAATCAGGTTTTTAAATGCAGCCAATTTGACCGTCAATGTGCATTTATTAAGCAAAAGTTAGACTGAGACATACCTTTGATAGAATTTCGAGGAACAAACAATTTTTTTTTAAGTGTTAATCTTGTTAAATTCTTGTTAAAGTCTGTTAAAGTCCTCCCGTGCACGCTCCCGCGGCCGCCATTTGGCAGCCCATCAATTTTTGGCACAACACTGGCCCACATTTCTGGGTTCGGCCCACATTTCCAGGTAGTCAGCGGTGATGCAAAACAAACGCGACGCGTCAGCGGTGACGGATAATAGATGCAACGTATACAGCGAAGTGACATATTTATGATTTTTCCACTATATTAGACAAATATAGACTGATGCGACTTATAAGGCGGTGTGACCTATAAGTCAGAAAATACTGTCCTTTTGATGACCAGATTTATCTAAATCTACACAGTAACACATTATCTATGGCGTCATCTTCAAACTAGAACTACAACAATATTTTCACAAGCAAAGAAAAAAACAGACGCTACAAAAATCTACTGAACGCAGGTTTGTTGAGAGTTTTTCACCTTAGTGTAAAATTTAATTAAGTCTAATTTGTCAAAAATATTCCAAGGGAATGGCCTGAGGGGATGACACAGCTCCAAAGATTTGGACACAAGAAAATTGCAACTGTTTATGGATCTTTTGCAAAAATTGTACGAACATTTTATGTCTAAATACAGTATGTAGACTCGTGTGTGACATGAAAATTATACATTCAGCTAATCTTCCAGCTCGTTTTCCCAGAAGCAGAAAGTGCCTCAGGCTAAACTGCATCAGCTGCAAATGAGCTTTCTGTTTGACCAAATATCTCCTCTTCACTCTTTCCCTTTGCCTTCCTTTCCTGATCGGCTCAATGAATATTAAAAACTGCATGGCTGACAACACTGTCAAAGCTAGAGAAGTTCCCTTTCACATCAAACCCAGGACAAAAAACAGATATATTCACAGGATGGATACCCACCCCAATCAAAAATCACTTTAAAATATCCAAGCTCACCCTCTTTTTATACTGAAATCTCCAAAACGCACTGTGGAACCACTGATAATGTGACTTTCCCTGTTTTACTAGAAATCGCCTTCTTCCGTTTCATCTTTCTCTTCTTTCTTTAGCGCTGGTCCACCTTGCTTTGTCCTTACTTTTCTTCATGAGGCCATGTGCTTCTTTCACCTTTTCTATTTTTTAAGTTGCTTCAACATTTTTACTCATTGTTTTCCTCCTTTCTGATATAAATTTTTATTTATACTTCCCCCTCAGCTGAGGACTTCCTCTTCTGATCTTTGTTCTTGTCTTTCTTCCTCATGTTTATCTTGCCCTGTCGCTTTCACTTGTTGTCAGCTCTTTAGGAGAGTTAAAAAGGTGTGAAGAGGGAAATAAGTCCAAGCCAAAAAACGCCTTTAGGGGATGAAGGCAAGCCCAGACAAGTGTCTGCCTCTCAGAGGATAGTTAAGACGCACTGACAGACACTTTCATGATGGCTGATTGAAGACTGGCAAGCGAATAAGTGCACAAGAAAGAGTGCGGGAGTGAATACAAAAAGAGGAAAAAGAAAAAGAGACAGGAAGAAGAGAAAGAAAAGTCAGAGTACAGAAAGGAGACTCGAAGAAGAGCCCTCTTTAGGAATCTCTAAGCCACAGTTGTGTGGCTCTTGGGGAGATATGAGGGACTTGTCAGGCTTGATGTAAATGAATCCTGAAGAGCTTCATCTTCTTCAGCCACCACACGCCCTTTTGAAACTCCTCCTTTGTTAGCTTTTACAAACATATTCTTTCCCATTTTTGCCAATATTGAAAATTCTACTTTTTACTTGTATGTTCACTCCTTTAATGTCATCAGTACCTGGCTAGGTTACCTCCAGTGAAAACTTTCCATTGAAAGGTTCTTGAGAAAGCCACAACTTGTGCACAAACCAACAGAGTCATTTCCAAACATTCATTCATTTCTTGCAAATAGTAAAAATGCAACATATTTCTAACCCTAAAACTAATTAAATATGTAACACCATACATTGCATTTCTTCGCCGAATCACATTTATTAGATTTTAAGTTCATTGCATAATTGTCTTACTCTTTGGTTGTTTTTGTGGTCTTTGGCTGTTTCAAACATGCCTTTGCTGTGCAAAACTTACCTACTGGCAACAGCACCTAAGCTTCCCTAAGAGCCAAACGAAGTCCTGAGTGGAAAGCTTTGAGTGATTTGTAGACTGGCATTTTGACTAAAGCTCTTCTCAATTTTCACTCTTCTGCCAAGCTGTGGCTCACTACATAAAACAGCAGTGTTTTTCCCACGAAGCTGTTAAGAGATGTAGGCCACAGAAGTAAAATGTGTTTTAAAAAAATTGGATAAAAGACCTGCTGTTCTGGATATTTTATACTGTACGTTACTATAATTTTCTTGAAACCTCAAAACAAAAAAAGACATGTTGTGGGCATTTTTCAGGATAAACTTAGTGAACACTATAAGTAAAAAGCTGGTTTTAAACAGCTGAAGAAACAAATTTAGCATAAAACTGAATTAACTGTGACTCATACCACAACAAAAACATGATAGATTATTTTGATGGGATATTATTCACCTACTTTAAAAGTGATAAGCAAAGTTATTGAGCCAAGTGTAACATTACTTAATTTTAAATAAAATCCACATGATATAACAACGTATAAATAAAGAATGCAAAGATTGAGGTTTAGATGTAACAAACTTGTGGAAAAATGGAGAATATAAAGATTACTAAGGAAACAAATAAGAACTAACCAGGCATCAGCCTACAGCCAAATTTTTAACCAGTACAGGCAAAAGAGAGCACATTACACCAGTTTTGGCCTCAATGCACTGGCTACCAGTTCACCTTCGAATCCAGTTCAAAATACTCTTGTATGTCTACAAATCGCTGAACAGTTTTCTCCTCAAACATCCTCCTTTTCTGCTGCTGTTATGACAGTTTAATTCTTCAGCTTTTTCTTCCGCCAATTTCTGGTTTCCTGTCTGAGCCCCCACACACCTTGCAGCCTCATACTCCCTCAGTCCAGCTTTTCCTCACTTGACTGTGGTGTCCAGTGACCGACTACTCACTGATACCGCACCTCATTCTACAGCAAGGTAAATTGTGAACAAGACCTTATTAAGGAAGTAGAGTAAAAGCATATTATGGTCATCAAATGGTCAAGAATCAGACTGAATCCATGCATCCCCAGTCTCCAACTCCCATCTGTTTTATATCCCTCTTCATCTTAAATTGTCAAATAAAAGGAGAGTAAAATGATACTAGTAAATGAAAAGGAAAGAAGACAGCGGTCAGTAACAAAGAGGGGAGGAACAGGAGAAAGCAAGCAGATAAATATCAGTGTTTAAAAATTAAAGGTTATTTAAGACAAATCAATTTTATAGAAGTTTGAACAATTCATTGAAATACTCTGGAGTCTGTGACTATAAATAATGAATTTCAGGTAAATACTGCCAAAATGTTAGTAGTATTTGACATAAACAAAAAATAGGCTCGAGCCAGAAAAACAAATGTAAAGACGGGGCAGATAAATTAAGACATAAAATAAAGAAAAATGCTGTAGTTCCATACCAATGTTAAGATGGAAGAGGCCCTCAAAGGACACATATTCAAAACCATTTTAGAGTACCTGTACTTTAAAAAATAAATAAATACAAGTTCTTAATGTCAGCTGGAACTAATTACCTAATTTGTATTCAGATTACAGAAAATCTCCTAACTCGTCTATGATTTACACTTTTCCATCCAAAACACAGTATAGTCTTAAATTCTTCTTTCAAAAACAAATACAGTACATCATTATTTACCATGTCATATTTATATATTTATCTAAAAAGAGATTACGTTAGAGCCTTGGGGAGGTGAAATCTTTATTCGGACACTTTGTGGATTTAAAAGCAATGAAACTCTCTGGCCTCTGATTGGACAGCTTTATATTTGGGTTATTATCATCAAGTTAGTCTGAGTTACAATATAAGGATTGGACCTTAATACATGCATGTTACTGCACATTTAACCCCGGTGTGAAACTTTGAGCACTGCTTTTTACAAACAGCATCTGAATTTATCTGCAAACAAATGTTTAGAAAAATAAGTCTAGTCACCCATTTCCCATTTTGTTTTTGTCTTACAGTTCCAGAATTTCTGTTTTCCACATCCAAGTAAATCAGATTATTAAGTACATTTTCCCTTAATGAATAAACAATATGCCACTTTCCATCTTCATGCACATTGTCACTAGGCCTGTCGCGATAAACAATAAGTCAATTAATCGTATGAAGAATGAAAATTATCAAACTCATTTTCATTTTTCGGCTTTATCGTTTTTTCGTGTCTCTCTTTCTCCTGAAGACACAGCTCAACTCCGGTGCTCTTCACTGACCCCTCCCTTTCTCTTTTCTCTTTAAAATCAATTTTAACGATCCAAAATCGGGTTTTTGGATCGTTAAATGCAGCTAAGCTGAGAAGCTAAGCTACGAGCTAAGCTAACAGGCTGACCTTGGGAATAAACCTCCGTCTTGTCGAGC